AGTAACCAGGAAGTAGTCACAGCGTGGCATTGAGAGTGAATATTGAGTTTACCAATGTCATTGCGGTAGGTAAGTTCGGAAAGTACTCGTGCATATAATCATCAGAGAGCTGCCTGACTGAATAAATTACAGGAGCTGATAGTGGGGCTGATTGTTCAAGCTGCAGGCAGCATCATAAATACTCTGAGTGCCAGTGGGGGTTCAATGTCCTCTTACTAGTGCAGTGAGTACCACAACTGCAATGTGTTGCCAAAGACCTGTGTGAAATTAGTTTCGTTTCCCAACCCTTTTTGCTGACTCAAAGTAGAAGCAGAGGTTTAAGTATTTTGGGGCTGCAATGGCACATGGGCATTATTCTCAGTCTCACTAGAGGCTTCTGCTAATGTTAAAGTTGCTGCCAATGCATTATTCTTTATATGGAACCAATAGAAGTGTCTATAGCTCGGAAAAAGGAATGCCAGTGTTAATGAGCCGGGGGAGTTATTCACTAAATTGGAACTTGTGGAGACCTAGACATTGGAAATGGTAATTTATGTAAAAACAGCCTGCATAGGCGCTTCTGGCTCTCCAGCTTTAGTAGCAGAGGGAGGGGGATATAGAATGATTTCCAGTGCACTCCTGTCACCATAATCACTATAGTGAGATATAATGGTTATGGTGCTTATAGTATTCCTTTAAGCTCAGGAGATTGCTGCATAATGCATGTGTCACAACATTGTGGACAGTCTTTGGTAATAATTTTAAAAAAGAGATTTGGTTTCACTATTTCAATGCATTATTTTAGTTGGAGTTACTTTTAATCATATTGAGTCACTTTATGACTCCAATATGGTTAAACGCTATTCAGTATAAAAACGATGTGTAATGCCAGAGGTTATGGTGCTGAATACCCTGCTCACTGTCTCCTTTATTTATAAAGATAGAGCAAAAGCCTGCCTCAGAAAACTTAAAGGACCACTATAGTGCCAGGAAAACATACTCGTTTTCCTGGCACTATAGTGCCCTGAGGGTGCCCCAACCCTCAGGGTCCCACTCCCGCCGGGCTGAGGGGGAAGGAAGGGGGTTAAACACTCCCCTTTCTCCAGCGCCGGGCTCCCTCGGCACTGGGGACTCTCCTCCCTCTTCTGACGTCATTGGCTGAATGCGCATGCGTGGCAAGAGCCGCGCGTGCATTCAGCCAGTCCATAGGAAAGCATACTCAATGCTTTCCTATAGATGCTGGCGTCTTCTGACTGTGAAAATCATAGTGAGAACCGCGGAAGCGCCTCTATCGGCTGTCAATGAGACAGCCACTAGAGGCTGGATTAACCCTAAAGTAAACATAGCAGTTTCTATGAAACTGCTATGCTTACAGCAAGCAGGGTTAATCCTATATGGACCTGGCACTCAGACCACTTCATTGAGCTGAAGTTGTCTGGGTGCCTATAGTGGTCATAAAGGAATATTTTTTTATTTGTTGCTCTTCAAAATTTTGTATTTTCTTTTTCAACATAAATGTATCCCTTGCAGAGAACTGTAGCTGTGCACATGTGTAGTCAAGAAATTACTGGATACAGCTGTCATTAAAACAGTGAACTGAGCTTTGAATAGACAGGTGGCAAGTGCAGCTTGTCTGACTCCTGCATAAACCTTAAAGGAACACTAAAGGGTCATGAACACAAACATGCATTTCTGACCCTATACTGTTAAAACCACCAGCTACCCCCCCTCCTGACCTCCCTAAATATAGTGAAATCCACTTCTGCCTACTGGCTGACATCAGAAGTGGTGGTCTGAGCCAATCACAGTGCTTTACATTACGATTGGCTAAGACTGTCAAGGAGGCAGATCAAGGGCAGAGCCAGCAAAAGTCAAACACAGCCCTGTCAATCAGCATCTCTTCATAGAGATGCATTGAATAAATGCATCTCTGAGGAAAGTTCAGTGTCTCTATGCAGAGGATGGAGACACTGAATGGCAGTATGGCACACTGTGCAGCACTGCCCCAAGAAGCACCTCTTCAGCCATCTGAGGAGTGGCCAATGGAGGTAACCCTATGCTGTAATGTCAACACCGAATTTTCTCTGAAAAGACATTGTTTACGGCAAAAGCCTGAATTGAATGATTCTACTTACCAGAACAAATACAATAAGCTGTAGTTGTTCTGATGACTATAGTGTCCCTTTAATGAGAGACTCATTGGCAAGTACTGCATTTATAGGAACTTTGAAGGTCAATATTTGTGTTTTTAAAAATATACTCCAGAATTTATTTTTGAGAATATCGTATTGGGCCGATTAATGGGCCTTGTGAGTCTGAATTGTTGCAAATAGTAAAGTACTGTCAGTCCATCTCCATTTGGGATGTTCACTGCAAAACTGAGTGTCAAATACAATGAACTTGTTTGAGCAGGGCCCTCCTTGCCTCTGGTTTCTGGCAACACTTACTTTGTATGTCAGTACTTTTAAAAAAAATTTTTTTTTATCTCCAATGTATAATTGTGAAGCGCTGCGGTACTTGTGAGCGCATATTGTATAGCACTGTAGTACACTAGACTGTTAATGTTCCATTTACTTACATGGGGATTTTTTTAAAGTTACTTTTTTCATCTCCATTATTCTCTATGTAATGGATATGCTAATTTACAGTAAGCATGCTCTGTTACAACAACAAAAAGAAAAGTTTGTTTCTGATATGTTAGAAATATGTTTTTCATGTCCTGTATTGGTTCAGCTAACAAAGTTACGTGTCTCCAATTTGCTTTTGTTTTGATCTAAAATCGTATTTGTCAGTTGCATGTGAAAATTATTGTAAAAAAATCTCATCTCTTTATAATTTTAGGTTCCATTTATGAATTGTCATCATTTGTGATATTGATCCAAATTCTGTGAAGTATACTCATTTGAATGTTGCTCCTCTTGTGACTTGTTAGGCACCATGTGGCCTGTGATATGGGCAGCAGCCAGGACTTATGCTCCTTATATTACTTTTCCAGTGGCACTTGTAGTGGGAGCAGTAGGATATCAGATGGAATGGTTCATTCGTGGGACCCCAAAACAGGTTGTGGAAGAACAAAGTATCTTGGAAAGGAGAGAAGAGAGGGCCCTGCAAGAGGCTGCTGGAAAAGATCTTACCCAAGTTATTAGTCTTAAAGAAAAATCAGAATTTACCCCAAAAGCTGTTCTGAACCGCAACCGGCAGGAGAAAAGTTCAAATTGAAATATTTGACAGCATCTTTAATTTGATTGAAAATGTAGCACAGACAACTCATCCAAATGTCTGAACAACTAATCACTCGGCATGATGTAATTTCTGTACCCTTTATCCACATCTGGGGTAATTCCTAGCGGTTCCCAAACTTGACTGGACCATGAAACTCAGAGGATTTTGTGCACGTGGAATATCTGATAAAGACACAAGCGGCAATCACACAACACCTGTCCTGTCCACATTTGTTCCTTGATGCTGGATCCACATTAACATGAAATATGTCAATTATTTCTTTTCTAATTTTAGTTATTGTGTTCCTAGTAACATCATTTTGTCACTTTAACAGTGTGTTTGTGATTGCCTGTCCATGCAATTTTACTATGGGTCTACCATGTTCTGAATAAACATAAAGATTTATGACAGACTCAGATTTTTTTTAATTTTTTTTTAACCAAACTTTTTATTGAGGCACAAGTGTAGTTCTAGAGACTTGTACAGTAGTGACATTAATATAATCAGGCATGTAATGAGTAGATAAGCATCATGGTACAAATAACTGAGCTGAGATTATACATCCAAAGTGATGTGGTGGGACCGGATATGTCACATACAGATCAAGGAGGCCTCATTTTAAAGTAAATAAAAACATGAGAATGAGTAAGAAAACAACAATAAAAACAAAGCCACTGTGCAAACAGAAATCATATACCCAGCTCTATTAAGGAAGCTTAGCTGAGTGTAACTGATCTAGGACTCACGACATAAATGGCAGATTATAATGCTTAATACCATTCAGACTAATTGCCCATAGTACACACTGAGGAGTAAAACCAAACAGGCTTTAAACTTGGTACTACCATGCTAGAAACAATAAGTGAGACAGCTGCAAAACTAAGGCTAGTGGTGTGGAGCCACCGAGGAGCCTGGTGAAACTGGGCAAATCGAATATCACAAATGAAACCAAAGCGGAGTAATAACATCAAAAGAATACCATGGGCAGATGAAAGAAAAGATGCAGCGCAATAGTCTACCGGACACTTGTATACTGTCAAGTTAGGTTTCAAGTACTGCATATGCTCATCTGATGCCTTGGCTATGGCAGAATCTCTGACATTTCTCCAACAGGTAAGGACTGCTATTAAAGTCTGTAAGGCACGTAACTTTAGTCACAAGTATGCCCCCACTCCAGCCCCAGACTGCAGTCAAAGTCCGCATTAGTAATATAGGAAAATGCTTCAAAACAATATAAACTAGATGTGCTCGTTGTTTGTAACAGGTTGGTGTACCCGTGCAGCACTCAAAAGATATAAAACATGTGTTGGCTGCATGTAACTAAAGGGAAAGTAACGGGGAGCCTGTAAGCATAGAGGGGGGTATATTGTACACTAGCAGTCATGCTGCAGCCATTGCAAAATATCATTCAAACCAAATAAAATTAACTATAGCAAAAACTATCTATAAAAACATGCTGTTGATATAAAAAGGTAAAAAGCAGATATGAAGCCATGTTGTTTAGCCCACGCCTGTCATATGATGGACTCTGTCCTGGCTAATAGGATTCCAGTAACGTGCTTCGGCATCCCACCAGGCCTTAATGATGCTCATATCGCCAGTCCGACTAGTCCCAGTTGAAGTTTTAACCGGCACCTAATCTCGAGGCCCTGTGCGAGGTTGCTTGTGGTCATGAGTAGTTTGGGTCTTCTGAGGTAGTGAGTTGCGTCCAGGTAAATTTCCCAGTTTGGGCTGTAATCCAGCAAGGCAGTGGAAGAGTGCCGGACTAAGCCTTCGGCACGGAGTGATTTCTGCAGTACCTTACTCTTCCATTTCGAATGCAGTGCTGCGCCAGAGCGTGGCACAGAAGCCGCATTCCGCTGAGTAATATTAGGCAAGGGTGGTTCTGGCAGGACTTCAGCAGAAGTGTGCCAGCATGTGGCCTGTGTGGACCAGAAGGTTGCGAACAGGGCATCCAGCTTCTCCAGAAGAGTTAGCTGCAAGTATCGAGTTAAAAACAGTTCGTTTCAGAGCAATGGACGTCTCCCAATACTGGGGTGTCACAAGATGTAGAATTCAAGTACTAAATTTGCATTTAGAGCTTTGTTCGGAGCCAGATTGCACGGAGTTCTCAGAGTGTGCGACCGGTCAAAGCGGCAGCTAGGCTCTGCCCCCACCCCCCCAATTTCTTTTTTGAACCAATAGATACCGATAGATATTGAAAACCCAGGGGCAGATGTAACCTTAGCCCGTTCAATTTGACGGTCAGGGCCCGCCCCTCGGGTTTATTTCTTTATTAGCATGACATAAGATTGAAAAAAGACTTGTTACAGAGGTCTGATGATCAAGCATCACTTAACATTGCTATTTTTAGGGAATTATTACTGTGTAATTGGGTGCTTTCATTGTCTGCTTTACACAAAACTAGCATGTCGTGTAGGAGGTATGTAGATGGAAACATCTTTGTGAAATTTAAGCCATCAACTGTCAAAATAATGGTAAGTTCCATCACACCTAGAATGCATTCTTCAAATTTTAGTAACAGCTGCATGAGGTTAAAGGGGCACTTTCCAGTGTGTAGGTTTGGTTACAGTTATTTATGTTAAATTTTTTTTAATTTTTTTTTATTTCCATGTGACTTTTTACTAATTAATTTTGCTCTGCAAGCCAATCCTCATGAGTAATTGTTACTAATGAGTCACAACTTCATGAGGCCATCATCATAACTTATGATTCTGGGTGTTGTTTAATTTGCAGATTTCTATAGCAGAAAGGTGGTAATTGGCAACTCCCATAATCACTACATCCATAAACTACTGCTTATGGGACAGTAGCAGAACTACTGTACGTTAACTAAGCTTTTGTGGGGTACCTGAATGTGCCATCAGGAACTGACTACATGAGTACTGTTTTTATCCTTAGCTGAAGCTAAGTTTCCAGAAACAAAGCTTTAATCTGCATCTGTATAACTACCTCTATCGGGATCTTTTTTTTTTTTTTTGCCGAGATATCTATCTATCTATCTATGAGAGTCCTTGCACTCAAGCTGTTTTATTTCAATGCCGGGTGCCAAAGCCTGGGCTCACGTAGATAAAAATGTTCAAGATGAGGCTGCACTCATGGTCTTTATAAAATCCAAAGATACTTTATTTAAAATGTTTCAAAAAAGATCTACGTTTTAGTCCCCATATGGGACTTTCTTCAGGATCAACAAAACAGTGTAACTAAAGTTGCACGTATTTTGAAAAAGCTCAAAATAGATTCATGTATGAGTGCTGATTGTTAAATACCTCGTGTAGGATCTAAATTAAGTTTTTTTAGTTAATGCAAACTCTATAATCAATCCCCCAATCCTATGCTTACACTAACTCTAAATGTATACCGACCCTAATCCTAAATGTTAACCCTTACTCTAACCCTAAGGAATACACTCTGATAATATCAATACTGATATCAGCAGATGGACTTCCAAGCTAAAACAGTAGACAGAGGTCTGTGACCACCACCTACTGGCTATTTTCAGCATGACGGAGGTCTCCCTGTAATGCTGAACCTCCAGCATGTTTCCCCTGCTGTTCACTCTTTGATCTATGTTGGGTTGTTGGCAAAGCCCATCACCGATCACAATCAGTAGGAGGGCATGCAAGGAGACCTTGTAATTGGCTGTTCAGACCCTTGAGCAGCCGAGAATCACTGCAAGCAGAGTGCAGTCTGCTCAGCCATGGTGTTTTCAATGGATCTATGTCTTTCCATTCATTATTAAGCTGTTTTGCTGAATTTTTACTCACAATGAGCTCATTGGTTTTTCCGGTGCCACTAAATATAGCCACAGCAGATTGATACCTGCATCTCCCTGGTGTGAGCAGGTATTTGACTCTGCTCACATCAAACTTTCAAGCGAGGGATTTAAATCTCTATTTAAAGAGCTATAACCAGCGTTCACTTTGTCTTTGTTTACTGAGAAGTGTCAGTAAAATGTCGGGTGCAAAGCACAGTAATGGCTCCTTCACATTCCAGTGCCCATTAGTGAGTGTAGGACCGTAAGGAAGCAATTACTGTGCTTTGCAACGGATGGAGGTGCAAACCACATGCTCCCTGGCCTGACCCTGTATCAGTCCTTCTGCTTGCCTGCAGCAGGGCTAAAGGGGAAAAAAAGACTGCCTGTCTCAGGTATCAGCTGATAGAAATTCCCCATCCCTGAATCCTGATTGTTAAATGCTCTATATGTCTTGGATTAATCTTGATTTAATGTTTTGGTAGCTAACCCTATACCAACCTCTAACCCTATACCAAACTTACCCCTAACTCTATGCTTACATTAACTCTAACTGTACAACTACCCTAACCTCACCCAGCATTCCTTTACTTTATACTAACACAAACCTTAAAACTAAAAACACTGTAAGTAACATTTATGGATTCCTTCTGCTAATGTCATCACTGGTATCAACAGAGAAATTTCCTAGAAAAATAAGAGCGGTCTCTGATGGGCATCTGCTGGATGTCCCTTTATCCAGCTCTGATCTCAATGCATTGGGCATACAATATTTAAAGGGACACTATAGTCACCCAGACCACTTCAGCTCAATGAAGTGGTCTGGGTGCCAGGTCCCTCAGGTTTTAACCCTTCACATGTAAACATAGCAGTTTCAGAGAAACTATGTTTACATAGCAGGGTTAATCCAACCTCTAATGGCCGTCTTCCTGACAGCCGTTAGAGGCGCTTCTGCGACGTTGGATGCGAAATTCGCATCCAACCTGCAAAATGTCCATAGGAAAGCATTGAGAAATGCTTTCCTATGGACTGTTTGAATGCGCGCGCGGCTCCTGCCGCGCATTCCGCTCCACTCGGGAGCTGACGTCGGCGGGGAGGAGAGGTCACCAGCGCTGAGGGAGCCTGGCGCTGGATTAAGGTAAGTGGCTGAAGGGGTTTTAGCCCCTTCAGCCCAGCGGGAGGTGGACCCTGAGGGTGTGGGTCCCCCAAGGATGCTATAGTGTCAGGAAAACAAGTTTGTTTTCCCGACACTATAGTGATCCTTTAATAAAAAAGATAGGAAACTTTCATACTAAAAATAGCCAGTAGATGGCAGCAACTTACCACTCTGTTTTAGTTTAGATTTCCCTTTGCTGATATCAGTACTGATATTAGCAGAGGGTAACCTCTGGGATTAGGATTAAATTAGGGATTAAGATTATGGACCTTAGGTAAATAACCTGTGATGTCTACTGTATATAAATATATACTTTTCTGTGCAGTTGTGTTTTCTGTAATGGCTATTAAGCTTACAAAACAAATATACCAAATTGTAAAATTGATCCACCTTAAAATGTCATTTTACTTCTTGTATTTTGTGACCTGTAACTAACAAAAATAAACTGAAATCCGATACGTATTATGTACTCTGTAAATCAGGACATTTTATTTATTTTGGATTACTATAAATTTTCATTTTTTGTATTATAAATAAGAAATTTATACATGTATATGTCACATCAAATTAAAGTAAGAGAAAAGACAATAATTTACCAGTACAAATACCCAACTGGATATTGTGCCGGGAAAAAGCTGTACAACCCTATTAACATATCCTTATGATAAAAATGTGTATCGTAATTTATTAAAAATAAAAGCCTTAGTCTCCTAACCACAGGTACAAAGGTGTAGAAGGTATGGAAAGGAAAATATCCATGTAAGAGGCTGAAAAAGCAATGGACAATTAGAACTAAAGGTAGAGGTAGTCTGTTTTAAATTGGATAGAGAGATCTAGTAAGAACTAATAGCAGGTATCTAGAAGACATAAAGCCACTCCATTCTGCATTGCATAGTCGTAGATTGTCTAGAAACTCACTAAATATTCACAGCTCCATACTACCTAACTAAAGTCCCTAGTGCTCCAGCATAGCAAGGATCTAATACCTATTAACACAGCTAGTCCTATGGAGGGACTAAAAATAGTAAAGTGCTAACCCCTACACCCCAAGTGCATAGTTAAAAATAAAATAGGAAAAAAGCCCGACGCGCGTTTCAGCGTATCGAGACGCCGTCGTCAGGGGCAAATACAAAAGCTACCGGTCTCTCCCGCTTCTTTAAATGTCCAATACACAATTGGACATTAACAGCTGATTCGCAAGTGAAGAGCTCACATCTCATTGGTCCCAATGAGACTCACCTCTCAATCATATGTTCGTAATCCAGTGTAGCCAAACCTCCTTCCGTATACTCACCGTGACGTCAACACGCTACACCACGTGAGCAGGGAGGGAGGCGGACACTACATCTACATATCCCACGTGGTTTTGATATCAAACGCTGTGTCGCATATGCCGTGAAGGGGCGGGCACCGTTTCTATACCACGCCCCCCCTCCAACGCAACCTAATAAGTCACACAGACGTCATTAAGTGGGCGGGGCTAAAACAACCCGACAATACAACGGGGGGGATAACATAGTGATCGTCCTTAAAGGATACATTCAGGGGTGATCAAATCATAATCCAAAATTACTCACTTACTGCCTAAATAAAGGACATTTAAGTGTATAACTATATGGAACAAGGTAAGTCTCATTGGGGAAAATAAATAAAAAACAGGCATCTCACACAAGAGTATAATTTTCGAATGGGCACACTGGAATGCATAGCACTCCCATTTGTCCCTCATCCATCCATAGTGTGAGGAGTACACTCTATGTGAAGTCCTACTATATAGTAGAAATCAGGTATAACCTGAACAACATAGAATCCCTAACTCCAATCAATTATAAACATAGTAATGACCAATGTAGCATCACTAGAGCTGCATGGGGAGATATATACAGTAACTGAAGATCCCTCGATGATGATAAACACTTAACTAACCAAAACATAACTAAAACTTCAAAATTAATAAATACTAATCATTAAGATCATAATTAACAGAAAATACCCATACAAAGTTACTATTAATAGTATGTTAAATGAATGGGGTATATGAAAACCCCTCATTCAAACCATGTGGTGACAAAGTTTGAAGTTTGAAAATCCAAAATGCCTCCCTCTGACGGAGTTTAATATCCCACCCACCTTTACGTGGAGGCTGAGGGATATGTTCTAATCCCAAGAAGCGTATTCCCGCTGAGGAGTGATTATGATAGAGATGTAAATGTCTCGATATGGGGGTTTCAAGACGTCTCCTTACCGAGTTTACATGTTCCCTAATTCTAAACTTGAAGGGACGAAAAGTCTTTCCCACATACATAAGGCCGCATGAACAGGTAAGTAAATAAATAACCCCTGCAGTGCGCCAATTGATGAAAGAGCGTAAATTAAAAGTCTCAGACTTGGAACTATTATTACAGATTTTAGAATTCTTATTGATGAAGGGGCATGCACTACAGTGACCGCATCGATATGTACCAGTAGGTAAGTAGTTTTTAAAAGGTCCTGAAATTGACAATGAAGAAAGATGACTAGGGACAAGTAGGTCCCTTAAATTCCTACCTCTACGGGCTGTAACAGAAGGGTACGTTGTCACTACATCTTTAAGATGTTTATCTGTAGATATGATGGGCCAATATTTCTTAAAGATTCCCATCATTTTTTGCCACCCAGCGTCAAAGGTTCCAATACATCTTATCAGTTGTCCCTCCTGTTTAACAGAATTGTCATCAATAAGGGTTTGTCGTTCAGTTGAAAGAGCCCTCACATATGCTCTCTTTAACACCCTATTGGGATATCCTTTTTCCCTGAAGGACAATCTCAAAGTCCTTGCTTTGGACTTGAAGTCATCCAGGGATGAACAGTTCCGTCGTAATCTGAGGTACTGTCCGATAGGGATTCCAGCTTTTAATGGAGTGGGATGGTAACTAGACCAATCCAAAAGGCTGTTTGTGGCTGTTTTTTTCCTAAAAAGTGTGGTGTTCGTTTTGTTCATTTCCCCTATTTCAAGAGAAACGTCCAAAAAACATAATTTAGAACCCCCCATTTCGCTTGTGAACCACAGATTATAAATGTTATTATTGAGGACAGCGACAAAGTCCGTAAAAAGCTCGGAGGTACCCAACCAGACGACAAAAATGTCATCAATGTACCTCTTCCAGTAGAGGACCTGATCCATATACTGTTTAAGATTAGGGTCTTCTCTAATTATTCGCTCCCACCAGCCCAGATGTAGATTTGCATATGAGGGTGCACATGGTGTCCCCATAGTTGTTCCCCTCATCTGTTGATACAATTTACCATTAAAGAAAAATATGTTATGTGTTAGTACAAACTTCAACAGATCTGATATGAATTCAATATACATCTCAGGTAATTTAGAATTAAGAGAGAGGAACTTTCTACAATGTTCAATTCCAAGTTCATGAGGAATTGAACTGTATAAAGCCTCTACATCAAGGCTGCACAATTTGGCATGATAAGGAATCTCATTCTGGGTCAAAAAAACAAGTAATTGTTTCGTATCCCGAAGGTGTGAAGGTAAATTCTGTACCATCAGGGACAAAATCTTATCAAGAAATACGCTTGTATTCTGGGTAAGATTACCACAGCCGGATACAATTGGTCTACCTGTCAGGTCCGACATGGACTTATGGATTTTAGGTAAACAATAAAAAGTTGACAAAATAGGTTCTTTAGGATTCATAAACTCGAATTCATCTTTTGAGATGAATTCCATTTCCACAGCTCCAATCAATAAGTTACGTAATTCGACCAAAAAGAGTGAAGTTGGATCCTTTTTGATCACACGGTACGTGTTTTCATCCAGTAGCAGTCGTTCAGCCATCCTTATATAATGATCCCTGTCCATAACAACCACATTACCACCCTTATCAGATGGCTTAATAATCAGGTCCTTGTTAGCCTGGAGCTGACTAATAGCCATTCTCTCCTGTTTTGAAAGGTTATCCCCAAGATGTAGTTGGAAATCGTCAGTTGGTAAAGAGTCAATTTCCCTACAAACCATATCTAGGTATACCTCCAAATTCCTATAGTCTTTAAACGGAGGGGTAAACCTACTTTTAGATCGCAAATTAGTTTGAGGGAGAATGTTCCTAATGGAACCACCACAGGATTCCAAAAGTTCAACGAGTGTTTGAAGACATTCTAAATCCTTAGATGATAATCCTAAATTCTGTGCTTTAGTTTCTTTGCGTTGCTCATGATATTTATGCAAAGCTAACTTCCGCACAAATAAATGGACATCTTTGGTCCATGTAAATTTATTAAAAGTAGGTATAGGAACATAAGATAACCCCTTATATAATATACTCATTTGGGCATTAGAAAGAGTGGATTTGGACAGGTTAATGATCTGTAAGGATGGTTTAGACCTTATCTTCGGTGTCTCTGACCCCGACCTCTGTTCCTTGTACGAGGACCCTGAGATAGCTCGGCCTGACGTAGGCCTAAAAAATCCACCCCTTTCTTTAAAATACTTTTGGGTGGATTAGTCGGTATAGGTGTATGTAGAGTAGAGGGTCTGTCAGTTTCTGTATCAGTGGATTCATATTCTGATGTGCTCACATAATCAGAATCAACTCTATTCCTTCTTTTAAACGGGTGGTAAACATTCCCTCTCTCAAAGTCTGAAACATCCCGAAGATATTTTTGATGCTTCCTAACCTTGATTTGATGCGAAAATTTATCAAGGTTAGTTTTCAGCTTTACTTCCAATGACTCAAATTGAGGGTCAGCTTTTACCTGCTGAACCTCATCTATTTGTTTATCAAGTTCTTGTTGTACAGTCTCAAGTCTCATAGATTCATATTTACAGATTATGTTCATAAAAGTATTTGAACAGATAGTAGTTGCCTCCTCCCACTCCTTATGAAACTCTTCCAAAGCCATCTGTCTAGCAGGGGGTACCTGTACCCGTAACCCTCTAGGTATAATGTTCTTAGAAAGATATTTCTGTAGTGTGGATATCTCCCAGCTCATTCTGATTTGTTGTCTAAATAGTTTATTCAGTTTATTGAAATGAGAATGAAT